TTCCAATTTTAGTACCAAAACTGAGATATCCGTCTTCCATTGCTTTGAGCTTATCAATAATTCATTGCCAAAAATAATTGTTAGCCAAAACTAGGTAAGTTCCCCCTGAATGTATGCGCTTCAGAAAAATAATTAAGACAAAATCATACTTGAGATAAGCATAATCAAGCATAATAAGCGCAATTAAGGCATACTTAAGAAATGTTTAAACCAATCAAGCAATGTTTAAACAAGAAGGTGTTTTCATCAAAACAAATGTTTTCACATACTTTCCCCCTGGTTTGATGAAAAGAACATTCAGTTCCTTTTGCGTTTTGAAGATCCGGCAACTTCACTGATGCCCTGCATGTTCCCACACAGTTCTTTGATGCGCCTTAAGTTTTCACCCCTTTCCTCTGTTTGAGCAGCATCTGAGAAGTGGTCAGCAACTGCACCTATAAATTCTGTTCCATCCAGTCCTGAGCTGGATAGGTGCTGTGCTGAGTTTTCCGGATTTCTTTGCTGTGCTTCAAGGATCAGATTAGTCATGTGCAGATGAGAAGGGACATAAGATGCTTCTCCTTCATTGACTGCAATAGGGAGCTGTGGTATTGGAGATGGACTGTGTTGTTAGAGAATTACTTCCATCTTGCGGCTCCTAGAATGTGCACCAATAAGTCTGAACAGCTTGTATGCTTCCTTTTGATTGTCAATGATCACCTTCAAGTAGTCTTTGGTTACTACTTGATTTGCTGAAGCTATAGCTAGGGCTGATCTGATGTCCATTTGGAGAAGGGACATCTGTTTTTGCAGACCAATTGTGACATTTTCTATTTGCTCCTTGACTTTGTTGAATTCATTGAATTGCAGTTGACTGTCAGAGGTGTATATTTCCATCGTATTGCTCACAGTTTTACTGAATAGAGAGATGATCTCTAGAGTCTTTTCTACTGATTTACTTATCTCCTTGAGATCAGCGCTGTGTTTCTTTTCAGATTTCTCTATCAGCTCAGTGTGTTTGGCTTCCATTAGCTCTATCTCTTGCCTAAAGGAGGCATGTTGAGATGCTAGGGCTGACTCAATCAGCCCTTGGACCTTCTTTGTCCAGGTTTCCGGGATCTCATCCGGAAGAGTAGGAGTGGAAGAGCTATGGAAGTGAAAATTGGTTACCTGATGAGGAGATGATGTCCTTTGAAAGAGTTGCAAAGGAAGAGATTCAGCATCTTCTTGCACATCTTCTTCATCAGTGATCTTTAGTGTCCTCTCAGATTCTCCTTCTGCTTCATCAAGTGCAAAATTTGATATGTATCTTGAGAGTGAGTCACTATCTTCAGCTTCATTTGGTTCTTCAAAAATGGCTATTGGAGTTTGAGAGACCTCCTCTTCTGCCATCTGAGATTCCTTCTCAGCTTTTCCAGAGTGCCTTTGGACTTCTACTTCTTTCTCCATAATTTCTGGAATAGCTGACTGTTCCGGAATTTCTGCTGACTTTTCCAGAATCTCAAGTTGTGTCTGATTGGAGATCTCACAAGGAGTTGTGAGGATCTCGAGCACTTGAGATTGGATCAGTCGCTGAAATTCTTCTTCTTCAGTTGCTTCCTGGTTCTGCTCTTGTGGGGGAGAGGCTGCCTTCTCTTGAACAGTTTCAGTCAGAACCATTTCGAACGCAGGTGAGGTTTCCGTAAAGATAGGGAAATCCTCAGCTGTTGTTTCCAAAACAGCTATTTCTTCAGAAGTGGGAGCCATTTGATCTTCTGTGGCTTTTGAGAAGACTGGCTTGTAGACTGCAGTATCTTCATCATCTGCTTCAAAGTCTGAAA